AAAAAAAAAAAACAACAACAACAACAACAACAAGAAATGGGGAAAGGATTCCCTTGAATAATAAAAGCATTCCATTTAATAAATGGTGCTGCAGGAAAACTAGCTAGCCACTTAGGTAAGCTAAAACTAGACCCCTTCCTTACACCTTACTTTTAAGGAAATTAATTCAAGATGGATTAAAGACTTAAATGTTAGACCTAAAACCATAAAAACATAGGCATGGACAAGACTGTGACTAAAACACCAATAGCAATGGCAGCAAAAGCCAAAATAGACAAATGGGATCTAATTAAACAAAAGAGCTTCTGCACCTTAAAGAAAAGCTACCATTAGAGGTGAAAAAAAAAAAAAAAAAAAAAAAAACAAGAAATGGGGAAAGGATTCCCTTGAATAATAAAAGCATTCCATTTAATAAATGGTGCTGGGAAAACTGGCTAGCCATAGGTAGAAAGCTAAAACTAGACCCCTTCCTTACACCTTATACAAAAATTAATTCAAGATGGATTAAAGACTTAAATGTTAGACCTAAAACCATAAAAACATAGGCATGGACAAAGACTTCATGACTAAAACACCAATAGCAATGGCAGCAAAAGCCAAAATAGACAAATGGGATCTAATTAAACAAAAGAGCTTCTGCACAGCAAAAGAAACTACCATTAGGGTGAACAGGCAACCTACAGAATGGAAGAAAATTTTTTCAATCTACCCATCTGACAAAGGGCTAATACCCAGAATCTACAAAAAAACTAAAATGAATTTACAAGAAAAAAAAACAAACAACCCCATCAAAAAGTGGGCAAAGGATATGAACAGACACTTCTCAAAAGAAGACATCTATGCAGCCAACAGACACATGAAAAAATGCTCATCATCACTGGTCATCAGAGGAACGCAAATCAAAACTACAATGAGATACCATCTCATGCCAGTTAGAATGGCGATCATTAAAAAGTCAGGAAACAACAGATGCTGGAGAGGATGTGGAGAAACAGGAACACTTTTACACTGTTGGTGGGAGTGTAAATTAGTTCAACCATTGTGGAAGACAGTGTGGTGATTCCTCAAGGATCTAGAACTAGAATTACCATTTGACCCAGCAATCCTATTACTGGGTATATACCCAAAGGATTATAAATCATGCTACTATAAAGACACATGTATACGTATGTTTACTGCAGCACTATTCACAATAGCGAATACTTGGAACCAACCCAAATGTCCATCAATGAGAGACTGCATTAAGAAAATGTGGCACATATACACCATGGAATACTATGCAGCCATAAAAAAGGGATGAGTTCATGTCCTTTGCAGGGACATGGATGAAGCTGGAAACCATCATTCTGAGAAACTATTGCAAGGACAGAAAACCAAACACTGCCATGATCTCACTCATAGGTGGGTATTGAACAATGAGATCACTTGGACACAGGGCAGGGAACATCACACACTGGAGCCTGTCAGGGGCTGGGGGGCTGGGAGAGGGATAGCATTAGGAGAAATACCTAATATAGATGACGAGTTGATAGGGCAGCAAACCAACAAAGCATATGTATACCTATGGATCAAACCTGCACGTTGTGCACATATGCCCTAGAACTTAAAGTATAATTAAATAAACAAATACATAAATAAGCTACTGTTTGTTTTTTTCCCGGTCTCTCTCACATGCAGTCAAACCTTTACTCTCCATCACCTAAAACTAGATCCTGCAACACAAGGACTCAATAAATATGCATTGAGTGAACAAGTGAATTAATCAGTCTCTCTCATCTGGTTAGCATGAGCCAGAAAGAATCCTTGGACATGATCTACCTCTAGTTACACTAGTTTCTAAACCTGCAAAACTGTGGCTCACATTCACATCTAATATTGAGGAACAAACCTATGGGCCCTCCTTGGTCAGCCAAAGAGTATCCCTCTAATTTTTAACATTTATCTTTCTAAACTTCAATGACTTAATTTTGCATGTTATCTCCCTAATTTTTATAAAACTAATACATGTATCATTAACCATAATGAAATACCTGCTTTTGGAAGGGAATGTTTATTTCATTTAAAATCTTGCAGATGGTTAAGCATAATATTATCAGTGAAAAAAAAAAAGACTGCGGTAAACACAGGCCATGACATACAAGGCAAAAAAGGTGATATAACCTACAATTCAGGGGACAACATCAAAAGAGATTCCTATTTTCCCTTAATGAGCAAGCAGAAGAGTAACTGCTTCTTCACTCCAAAGTGACCAAATTAATCAAGCTTAGTTACTGCATCATGTCCTAGAGCAACTCAGAAGCTAATAAAAATAGAAAACATGCCAAAACAAACTAAGATCCTTTTCTGCCTTTCATCTTGCTGCTATTCTCTCTCTCAATGTCTGTATTATCACCAGAATACTAGGAAGAACAGGCAGCTGCCATGTTGAGACCATGAGGGAAAAATGAAGAAAACTGAGCAGGCATCTAACCTGACATCTTTGAAATTATGAACGAACACCAATAATTTCTTCAACTCTAAGCTTATTACTGACAAAAACCCATCACTGTTTCAACAAATTATCATCATTTGGGTTTTCGGTTCCATGCAGCCAAACCACTTTCATGGTTTTCTGATTCAGAAAATTGAAACTGGAGAGCACGCTGATATGGTTTGGACATTTGTCCCCTCCAAATCTCATACTGAAATGTAATCCCCAGTGTCAGGGGTGGGGCCTCATAGGTGGTGTCTGGGTCATGGGGGCGGACGCCTCGTGAATGGCTTGACCCCTTGCTCCTCATACCATGTGTTACACCGGCTTCCCCTTTGCCTTCTGCCATGACTGCAAGCTTCCTGAGGCCTCACCAGAAGCAGATGTCAGCACCATGTTTTCTATAGAGCCTGTAGAAACGTCAGTCAAAATAATATCTTTTTCTTTATAAATTGCCCAGTCTCAGGTATTCCTTTCTGGCAATGCAAGCAAACTAACACACAAGCTAACAATGAAATTCCTTCTCCTAAACACTTCATGTATGACAGTGTAAAAGTATATCGAAGGACAAATTTTTTAAAAATATAATCATAACATGTTCAAATGTACAGCTGATATACATCGGTGGTTTAAGAAATGGGGTCTCAGCTCGTGTCTGTAATCCCAGCACTTTGGGAACCAAGGCAGAAGGATCACTTGACACCAGGAATTTGAGACCAGCCTGCGGAACACAACAAGACCCCCCTCTCCACAAAATACTTTTTAAATTGGCCAGGTGTGGTGGTGGGTGTCTGTAGCCCTACGTATTTGGGAGGTTAGATCAATTGAGACCATGAATTGGAGACTGCAGTGAGCCATGATTCTGCCACTGCACTCCATCCCAGGTGACAGAATGAGAACCTGTCTCAAAAAAAAAAGAGAAAGAAAAGGGAAAGATAGGGTCTCACTATGTTGCCCAGGCTGGAGTGCAGTGGCTTTTCATAGGCACGATCATCACACACTACAGCCTCGAACTCCTGGACTCAATGGATCCTCCCACCTCGGCCTCCCAAGTAGTAGTTCGTGCCACCTGTTGGGCTTGATATACATTTTGCAGTTATTCTTTGGCCTACATGATCCTAACAGGTAAGACTTAACTGAAGGCCAAGCGCGGAAGGCCAGGCGCGGTGGCTCACGCCTGTAATCCCACACTGTGGGAAGCCGAGGTGGGCGGATCACGAGGTCAGGAGTTTAAGACCAGCCTGGCCAATATGGTGAAACCCTGTCTCTAAAATCAGCCAGGCATGGTGGCGCACACCTGTAGTCCCAGCTACTCAGGAGGCTGAGGCAGGAGAATTACTTGAACCCAGGAGGCGGAAGTTGCAGTGAGCTGAGATCGTGCCACTGCACTCCGGCGAGACTCCATCTCAAGGAAAAAAAAAAAAAAGACTTAACTGAAATTTAAGTGATTTACATCTATGGAAATGCTATTGTAACTCAAAAGAGCATTAACATGCTATTCAACACGAAAAGGCAAGCTGTGTGAACACCACAACAGACGAGTATCTAAAATCTTTACTAAACTCCTTCATTTAACATATAATGTGTTCCCCCTAATGCATGAGAACAGGTCCCAAGGATTATTAAAAAAAATTATCTTCCCTCTGCCCTCAGTAAGTCTGTAAGTTAGCGGACAACCAAGTAAACTTACTTTGGAAAGTGTTTCTTTGGGTTTAGTCATGATAAAACCAAGAAGAACTGAGGGTGAATGTGTTCTCCAATTAGAGACACTCTTTTCAAACACACTAGGATCCGCACAGAAATATTTAGGCAAAAGATACCTATCAACAATTTACAAATGGCTAACAAATCACATACACTATTCTCAGTAGTAGTCAAAGATACACGAACAAGTGAGATATTTTAAAAAGCTATCAAAACGGCAAAGATTCTAAAATGACACCACACAAGGGTAATAAAAGGATTTCATCAAACAATCTCATATACTGCTGGTAGAAACATATTTCATATCTTGCTGGTAGAAATATATTTCATATATTGCAGGTAGAAATATAAATCAATGTAACCTTTAGGCATATCATGTAGATATACTTATTATAATGCCAATTCCCTATACACGGACCATGTTTTTTTGCTCTTATAAAAATAAAAAATGTCACTGAAGGCCAGGTGCAGTGGCTCACACCTATAATCCAAACACTTTGGGAGGCCGAGGCGGGAGGATTGCTTGAACCCAGGCATTCGAGACCAGCATGGGCAACACAGTGAGACCCTGTCTCTACTAAAAATATTTTTTTAAATTAGCTGAGTGTGGTGGCACATGCCTGTAGCCCTAGCTACTAGGGAGGCTGAGGTGGGAGGATCCCTTGAGTCCAAGAGTTCAAGGCTGAAGTGAGCTATGATTGTGTCACTGCAGTCCAGCCTGGATGACACAGCGAGACCCTGCCTCTAAAACAAGTAATTTTTTTTTAAAAGGCATTGAAAATGCAAAAGCATTCCTAGTTAAGGCACTGACTCTCCAACAACTTACTGTTTCAAAGCTGCCTTTATGCATCAAATCAATGGGTGGCCGGAATAGATCTGCAAGGGTAGTTAATTTCTTATCGATAGCTCCTCCATTTCTTAATTCTTGTTCTTGCCGAACTATAACACAGAAGGATGAAAAAGTTTCAGTTAGCCATAAAATAATCACGAATCACATTAAAAAATAAAAACTTCTGTCAATTGAAGGAATTGCTGTCAATAGGCTTGACCTCAAATACAAAGATCTAATATTGACTCTGAAAAAAAAAAATGCAAAGGGAGACAAGAGGAATCTTAAGACTTGGTGGAATTCCCTATTCCAAGGATACAAAGAAAATTAACTGAAAATAGTCACATAATCAAAGTAACTTCTTCACATATTCAGAAACTAATTAACATGGGAGAGGCTGAGTGCAGTGGCTCATGCCTATAATTCTAGGGGTGGCCAGGGTGGGCAGATCACCTGAGGTCAGGAGTTTGAGATCAGCCTGGCTAACACAGTGAAACCCCGTCTCAACTAAAAGTACAAAAACAAACAAACAAACAAACAAAAAACAGCCATGCGAGGTGGAGCACACCTGTAGTCCCAGCTACTCAGGAGGCTGAGGCAGGAGGATGGCCTGAACCCTGGAGGCAGAGGTTGCAGTGAGCAGAGATCGCGCCACTGCACTCCAGCCTGGGCAACAGAGCGAGACTCCATCTCAAAAAAACAAAACAAAACAAAAAGCATAGGGGAAAACTTTCATCCACATTTATCTAGTTCTGAAAGCAATGTAAATTCATCTGCTGTTTTTTTTTTTTTTTTTTTTGAGACAGAGTCTCGCTCTGTCGCCCAGGCTGGAGTGCAGTGGCGCGATCTCAGCTCACTGCAAGCTCCGCCTCTCGGGTTCATGCCATTCTCCTGCCTCAGCCTCCCGAGTAGCTGGGATTACAGGCGCCCGCCACCTCGCCCGGCTAGTTTTTTGTATTTTTTTAGTAGAGACGGGGGTATCACCGTGTTAGCCAGGATGGTCTCGATCTCCTGACCTCGTGATCCGCCTGTCTCGGCCTCCCAAAGTGCTGGGATTACAGGCTTGAGCCACCGCGCCCAGCCTCATCTGCTGTTTTTAGCTATGTTCTCAATCTTTAAAGACTCTGGGCCAGCCACGGTGGCTAACGCCTGTAATCCCAACACTATGGGAGGCTGAGACGTGTGGATCACCTGAGGTCAGGAGTGCAAGACCAGCCTGGGCAACATGGTGAAACCTCGTCTCTACTAAAAATACAAAAATTAGCCAGGCGTGGTGGCACAAGCCTGTAGTCCCAGCTACTCGGGAGACTGAGGGTAGATAATCGTTTGAACCTGGGAGGTAAAGGTTGCAGTGAGCTGAGATTGCACTACTACACTCCACCCTGGGTGATACAGCGAGCCTCCATCTTAAAAATAAATAAAAATAATAATAAAAAGATTCTAACAGTAGAGATGATGACCACTGTTGTCACCTTCCACTGGGAGGACACAGGATTCCCCAGATGACTTGAGTCAGTTCAGGTTCCCCATTAATTCTCTCCAAAGTTACAAGACCTATTTGTGCCTCAATGAACTCATTATAAATAAACCACAAAATCAAGCATGGTCCAAGGGTTTCTCATATATCCTCTTAACATAACTGTCCAGGCCGGGTGCGGTGGCTCAAGCCTGTAATCCCAGCACTTTGGGAGGCCGAGACGGGCGGATCACAAGGTCAGGAGATCGAGACCATCCTGGCTAACCCGGTGAAACCCCGTCTCTACTAAAAAATACAAAAAAACTAGCCAGGCGAGGTGGCGGGCGCCTGTAGTCCCAGCTACTCGGGAGGCTGAGGCAGGAGAATGGTGTAAACCCAGGAGGCAGAGCTTGCAGTGAGCTGAGATCCGGCCACTGCACTCCAGCCTGGGCGACAGAGCGAGACTCCGTCTCAAAAAAAAAAACATAACTGTCCTTTCTCTAGGATTCCATTGCTAAATCAATACTAGATCCTCTAAAAGTATAAGACCAAGATTCTCATTCTAACTTACACACAAAAATATTTCAAACAACTGTAACCAAAATATTAATAGGCTGCTCTGGGAGGTATGGCTTTTTCTCTTATTTTTCAATCTCTTACAATAACCATTTTCATTATATAGTCCTTTCATTGACAGAAATCAGGATCCTGAGGGAAATCAGTTTATTATAGTAAGCATTTTAAGTATTTATTCACAAATGAATTAAGTTTATCAGTTACCAGATTTCCTACATTATCTCCATCTCCTTTACTATTTTTCTATAACCAAATAGGTTAGAATTTGGAACAGTTCAGCTCAGGGGAGAGTTAATCACATCCTGGATCCATAATTTCACTTTTTAAATAAGGTGAAAACTTAAAGTAATTGGGCCTAACAGCAATCATCTTTTTCTTTTTAATAGGAAGAGAAGAGGGAGATGATAAACTGGTCCATAGATACCTACTAGTTTCAGTCTGAAAATCCCGGAAACCATCAAAAATTGAACGTGCAGGCCGTCGTCTTTTAGGAGCTTTAGGAGAGAAAAAACAGAATTGAAAAATTTAAAAATTAATTTTGAAACTTAATTCTAAAAATGTCCTCATCTAAAAGTATTTTTTTAAAATAAAAAATATGAAACCCTTCACGAACGCAAGTCACCCTTGCGCAGGGGCCGTGCTAATCTCTGTATCATGCTAATCTCTGTCTCGTACATGTACAATTTTAGTACATGTGCTGCCGAAGCGAGCAGTATTTCTTGCTTTAAAACACTCAGATTCATAATGGTGCCTTCCCTCAAAAAATAAAAAAGTTTAAAAACTTTCAAATCATTCATGTATAATTAATCTGAACATCTTCCATTCAGTCACCTTGTATTACAAACGAAAAAATTCAGGCCCAGTTAAAAGAGACTTGATGAAACTTGTGTAAAAAGTTTACTATTGGCTGGGCATGGGGGCTCATGCCTGTAATCCCAGTACTTTGGGAGGCCAAGGCGGGTGGATCACCTGAGGTCAGGAGTTTGAGACCAGCCTGACCAACATGGTGAGCCCACCTCTACTAAATACAAAAAATTAGCCAGGCGTGGTGGCACATGCCTGTAATCCCAGCGACTGCCTGTAATCCCAGGCTGAGGCAGGAGAATCACTGGAACGTTGGAGACAGAGGTTGCAGTAAGTCAACACTGTGCCACTGCACTCCAGCCTGGGCAACAAGAACGAAACTCCATCTCAAAAAAAAAAAAACTTTACTATCCTGGCCAGGCACTGTAGCTCATGCCTCCTGTAATCCTAGCACTTTGGGAAGCCAAGGCGGGTGCATCACCTGAAGTCGAGTTCGAGACCAGCCTAACCAACATGGTGAAACCCTGTCTCTACTAAAAATACAAAAAAACTAGCGGGGTGTTGTGGCATGCACCTGTAATCCCAGCTACTTAGAAGGCTGAGGCAGGAGAATCACTTGAATCTGGGAGGCAGAGGTTGCAGTGAGCCGAGATCACGCCACTGTACTCCAGCCTGGGCAAGAACAGTGAAATTCCGTCTCAAAAACAAAAAAGTTTACTATCTTAATATCCAAGTGGTGACATCAGAAAGAAAGAAGATTTTGAGGACACCGCCACGTAGAGATGAAGCCACACACACGCTGCAGATATCCAATTCAGGTTACAGCCTTCGGGATCCGACTGCCCTGTTGTTCAGGTTACAGCCTTCAATCTCCGACTGCCCTGCTGTATACAGTAACTCCACACTCTAAACCATAAGACTGAACGACTGTTTCTTAGGGATTGGATACAGTAATTTGACACTCTAAACCATAAGACTTAAGGACTGTGTCTTAGGGATTGGACATACGCGCAGAACCGTCAAGACAAAAAACATTTTTAATTTTGGAAACTTATTTTCACAGGTACACAATGGAAGCAAACAGATCGACCTAAGGTATTCTACTACCCCTGTAGACTGTCTATTACCCAGTCTTTAAATAAAGGCTTTTCATGATTCCCTCAATATGGGTAAGTTATTAAGTTGGCTTATGACAAGGCTGGCCAGCATGTAACCAGAATAATTCTCTGTTGAGAAATGATTAGTATCAAGATTAGACAGAGACTATAGAAACTCCTAACCCGTGTCAAAACATACTTCCCAATAACTCGTGTTTGTGATTACACAGGATAATTATTCACATCCAACACTACCGAGTAAAAGGCAAAACAGAGCAACAAAAAAATGCCGAACATATTAAAAACTTCATTTTTATTTAAAACATATTCATATGCATATGATTCCTGTGTATATGTGTATCAGTATTTATGTTAAACAATCACATTACCATCTCTGGGAAAAGAGATTTTGTAATACACTATCATGTTTTATTTTTTACTTTTTGAGACAGTGTCTCGCTCTGTTGCCCAGGCTGGATTGCAGTGGTGTGATCATGGCTCACTGCAGACTCCAACCTCCTAGGCTCAAGCCATCCTCCTGCCTTAGCCTCCCAAGTAGATGGGACTACAAGTGTGCAGCACCACATTCAGTTTTGTTTTGTTTTGTTTTGTTTTTTAAGAGACAGGTATGTCACTACGTTGCCCAGGCTAGTTTGGAACTCTTGGGCTCAAGGAATCCTCCCCCCTCAGCCTCCCAAAGTGCTGGGATAACAAGCATGAGCTACCACGCCTAGCCTGAATTAATTAATTAGTTAATTAATTAACTTATTGTGACAGAGTCTCACTCCGTTGCCCAGGCTGGAGTGCAGTGGCATGATCTCAGCTCACTGTGACCTCCGCCTCCCAGGTTCAAGGGATTCTCCTGCCTCAGCCTCCCTAGTAGCTGGGACAACAGGTGTGTGCCACCACGCCAGGCTAATTTTTGTATTTTCAGTAGAGAGGGGGTTTCATCACCATGTTGGCCAGGCTGGTCTCCAACTCCTGATCGCAAGTGATCCACCTGCCTCGGCACTAAAAGTGCTGGAATTATAGGAGTGAGCCACCGAGCCTGGCCTGAATTTTATTTTTAATTTAAATATTGCACTCTGCATCCCTCTCTACCTTCCTCCCTCCCTCCTTTCTTCATTTCTATTCAAGAAAAAGCAAGAAATGTCACACTTTTCAATCTTGGAACTATTTTTGATCAAGAGCTCCTATTTCAAATGTATATGGCTTCTAGCAGGAATAACAGAACCTGCCAAAGAATGCCTCTAAAACTAGTTATCTGGCCCTGGTGCAGAGACATGCACCTATAGTCCCAGCTGCCCAGGTGGCTGATGTGAGAGGATCGCCTGAGCCAAGGAGTTCGAGTGCAGTCTGTGCAACATACTGAGGCCCTGTCTCTTTAAAAAAAAAAAAAAAAAAAAAAATTAATTAATTAAAAAAAAACTGGATATCTGATACTTTTTAGCTCTAACAATTAAGAAACTGGCTGGAGGCTCAGCGGCGCTGTGGCTCACGCCTGTAATTCCAGCCCTTTGGGAGGCCGAGGCGGGCAGATCACCAGGTAGGGAGTTTGAGATGGTGAAACTCCGTCTCTATTAAAAAAACAGAAAAAATTAGCTGGGCGTGGTGGTGGGCGCCTGTAGTTCCAGGTACTGGGGAGGCTGACACAGGAGAATGGCGTGAACCTGGGAGGCAGAGCTTGCAGTGAGCCAAGATCACGTTACGGCACTCCAGCCTGGGCCACAGAGCAAGACTCTGTCAAAAAAAAAAAAAAAAAAAAAAAAAAAAGACTCTGTCTCAAAAAAAAAAAAAAAAAAGAAAAGAAAGAAAGAAAGAAAGAAAAGGAAGAGAGAAGAAGGGAAGGAAGGAAGGAAGGAAGGAAGGAAGGAAGGAAGGAAGGAAGGAAGGAAGGAAGGAAGGAAGGAAGGGAGGGAAGAAAGAAAGAAAGAAAGAAAGAAAGAAAGAAAGAAAGAAAGAAAGAAAGAAAGAAGGAAGGAAGGAAGGAAGGAAGGAAGGAAGGAAGGAAGGAAGGAAGGAAGGAAGGAAGGAAAGAAAGAAAGAAAGAAACCAAGGATATCTTAGAATAAGAATAGTTGCCTAAGAAAGTATATTATTTTAGGAAGGTAGCACATAAAAGGTAATTTTCTTCTACCTTTAAACTGCCAAAGGTAGGTTAGTCAATATTCCACATTATTTCACATCACCTTTCCAACCTCCCCCTTCTCTATAAGGCACCAATCTGGGTATACTCACTAGTTCCTCTTATTGCTATCCTTCTACCCAATTTATTTTACTTCTTGGGCTAATATCCCTCTTCCCATTTGTCTTCCATTCGTTTACCCTATTTGTAAGCAAAAACCTCTCCTCAGACCACACCACCTCTAGCCCTAGGCCTATTACTGTTACCTGCCTTTTCAATGTGGTCTCCTGGCTCTTCTAAGCCATCTGCCACAAGCAAACATCAGTCCTCTGTCCTCACTCTACTGCCCACATAACAGAAGTACTGGTCACTGAAGACAAAGAGACTAAGCTATAAAGAGCTAAAAGAGATTCAGAAGGAGCTTCAAAGTCAGCATAGGGGAGGGACAGCTGGAGAGTGGCACTGTTTTACATGTCCACATAGCTGTTCATATCTGGCTTCAGAGAAGGCATCTGGATCTTCAGATCTGCTTCTGCATTCCTTTAGATCTGCTGCTATTCTTTCAGTTCAAGTACAGAAAGAAAATTAAAATGTACTCTCATGCAGACATGCAGTTGTAAAAGGGAGGAGTGGGCTTTTTGTTTTAAAAGATGGGGGTCTCACTATGTTGCCCAAGCTGAAGGGCAGTGGCTATTCAAAGGCACAATTCCACTACTGATCTGCACCTGCTCCGTTTCCTCTTCCTCAGGTCATCTGGTGGTCCTCCACTGCCAGCAGGTCACCACCATATTGATTCCGAACTTAGTGCAGACACCCAATCAACATAGGGCCCTACAGTCAAGAGCTCCTGGGGCTCAAGCCATACTCCCACCTCAGCCTCCAGCGTAGCTGAGACTACATGCCTGTGCCCCCATACCCAGCAGTGAGGAGTGTTTTACAGTCTTAGATGATTGTGGATATTCTTCTTTAATAGTACACTAATACTTAACCAATGGTAGTTTCTTAGAGGACAGCTGCAAAGTGGAATCTGAAATCTTATCAATGAGCTTTTCATACTGTTTGATTATAACCCACTGTACTATGTGGTAGGCAGTCTCTAAGACAGCCCCCGATTTTCCCTGTCTCCCAGTATTCGTACCCTGTGTGTGAAGACCTTGAGTACAGGCAGGATTGAACAGAATGTAGCAGACTGATGGGATTTCACTTCCAGATTACGTTACAAAAAGGGAATGGCTTCCATCTTGGGCTGCCCTCTCAGGCTCTCATTTGCTCTGTGTAAAATGGATGCCCCCAGGCAACAGACACATGAATGCGTTTAGGAGATCCTCCTCCATTCAGGCTTTGAGATGAATGGTAGCCTAGCTGACATGTTGACCACACCCTTGTAGGAGACCCTAACCAAAGGCCACACCCAGATTACTGACCCAAAGAAACTGAAATTGTTTTCTTTGTTTTTTGCTTTTTTTCAGGCAGTTTAATTTTGGAACAATTTTTTACTCAGCAATAAATATCTAATACAATTCATCTCGCAGTCTGAATGGATCTTTTACCTGTGCACAACTCTGTAGTATCATGCACTGGTTATTCAAAAATATTTGTTTACTGAGTAATGGAAACATTTCAAATATTAATGATTTCATTATACAGTATTTTAAAAATCATGTTAAAAGATCTGTTTCATGTCACCACTGAGCTTATCAGAAAGCCTTCAAGTATTGGGAAAGTATCAAGCTCACAAAGGTAGGTACAAAAATTTTTCTAAAATCCTGTTTTTTGCCTGAAAGTTCTTTTTTAATGTATTTTATCATTTTTTTTTTTTGAGACGAGGTCTCTCTGTCACCAGTAGGCTGGAGTGCAGTGGTGCAATAATGGCTCACTGCAGCCTTGACCTCAAAGGCCCAAGCCATCTTCTCACCCCTCGGCCGCAGAGCTGGGACTACAGGCATGTGCCACCGCACCCAGCTAATTTTTTTCTTAATTTTTTTGTAGAGATGGGGGTCTCCCTATGTAGCGCAAGCTGGTCTGGAACTCCCAGGCTCAAGAAATCTCCCGCCTCGGCCTCCCAAAGTGATCCCAAAGTGTTGGGACTACAGGTGTGAGTCTCCACATCCAGCCAAACCTCTTTTTTAAAATCACTGATAACAAACACTCTCAGTTGTATTGAAGTAACAAGCTCACATTTTTAAGAAAATGCCAACTGTCAAAGTGTAAACTGATAGTTTGTCAGTGATTTTTCAAGTAAAAAGAATGTTCCATGAAAAAAGCTCCCTACTCTAACAATCACACAAGTGCCTTTCCTTAAAGCAATCATAGTACTTCATGACACCAAAGTGCTTTGTGCGTACCTACTATTTCAAACTATATTTTAAAACTGTGTACTCAAGGGTCAAGATTTAATGAAATTAATCATTTTTACTGCTTCATCAAGAACATCATTAAATAAAACTGCTTTTAAATCAGTTAACTTTTTTTTTTTTTTTTTTGAGTTGGGGTCTCAATATGTTGCCCAGGCTGGTCTCAAACTCCTGGGCTCAAGCAATCCTCCCGCCTCAGCCTCCCAAAGTGTTGAGATTACAGGTGTATGCCACTGCACCTGTCCTATTTCTCTTTTAGAGACAGGGTCTCACTCTGTCACACAGGCTGCAGTGCATAGTTCACGGCAGCCTAGAACTCCTAAGCTCAAGCGATCCTCCCACCTCAGACTCCCAACAAGGACTATAGGCGCGTGCCACCACGCCTAACAAATTTATTTTTATTTTTTGTAGAGATAAGAGTCTTCCTATGTTGTCTGGGCTACTCTCCAACTCCTGGTTTCAAGTGATCTTTTCAACTGTTGCCTCCCAAAGGACTGGGATTACAGGCATGAGTCACTGCACTTGGCCCTGCCTTTTAAATTTTTTTGTAAACTTCATGTAGCAGTGAAGAATTCACTATCTAGTGGTACAGTCTGAAGCCACTGCACGAATTCAACCAAGAAGCCAACAGTCTGACTCATCATTGTTTCTGAACTATCAGTCTAAATGTCACCACAACGAAAATAATTTGATGTCCAGTACCATGGTGCATGCCTATAATCCCAGCTACTCAGGAGGCTGAGATAAGATCACCTGAGCCTAAGAGTTCTGGCCTGTAGTGTGCTATGCCAGTCAGGTGTCTACACTAAGCTCAGCATCAATATAATTACCTCCAGGGAGTAGGGGGACCACCAGGTTGCCTAAGGAGGGGTGAACTAGCCCAGGTTGGAAACAGAGGTCAAAACTCCCGTGCCGATCATTAGTGGGATCACGCCTGTGAGCAACCACTGCACTCCAGCCTGGGGCAACACAGCAAGACCCCATCTCAAAAACTGGGGCAACACAGCAAGACCCCATCTCAAAAACAAACAAACAAACAAACCCTTAGTACTATTATTGTAAATTGTTTTAATGTTACAGACAACCTGAAAGGGTATTAGGGACCTGAGACCACACCTGAACGGTGATTTAAATCAATACTGCCTTAAGAAAATAGTTTCTAAAGACCCATTTCAAGTTATAACATCTAATAACAAAAGGTAAGAATGACTTCCTAACTGTAAAAAGTCATTCTTAGCATCCTCCTTACTGTACATCAATTCAGAGATAAAAAAAGGAAGAAAGCGGCCAGGTGCGGTAGCTCACGCCCGTAACTCCAGTACTTTGGTAGGCCAAGGCCAAGGTGGCAGGATTGCTTGAGATCAGTTCCACAGCAGCCAGGGCAACACAGCAATGCCCTGTCTCCACAAACAAAACAAAACAAAACAAAACAAAACAATTAGCCAGGTGTGGTGGCACACACCTATAGAAGGCTGAGGTGGGAGGAATTCTTGAGCCCAGGAGTTTGAGACTGCAGTAAGCTAGGATTGCGTCACCGCACTCCAGCCTGGGCAACAGAGACTCCATCTCTGTAATACAAAAGAAAAAAAAAAAAAGAGTAAAGTGGGACTTTCAAATGGAATTCTTTTGCCTCTGTTCAAAAGCAATATAGCACAGAATTTACTTCCTATAGTTCCACTTGCTCAAAGATCCTGTATTATTCCTTGCAATAAAGAGAAGATAAAGCTTCCAAGGGCATTACTCTTTTGCTCCAAATCTATTCCTAGCATTTATATTTGTAAAATTATGAGCAATCTGGTATATCAACAGCATAATGACTATCCGCATTGAACAGCCAGAAAGCACTTCATTACACTACAGTACTCAGACTTTACAGCTTTCCTCTTGCCTTTTATTTCTGAATCTAGACAGTATATTCTTTTGTTTCTTTCTATAATAAACACCAAAGCTGCCAAGTTAAAAACGTTTATCTCATAAAAACTCTCAACTAAAGTACTTTATCAAATCAAAAGACATACATATAATTTTATTCATTCTTTTGTTATAACGTGTATTTCCTCCTCTATCTTAGTCTACCCATGAAGGCTACATATGTACCATCCTAAGTAAATTAATGCAGGAACAGAAAGCCAAATACCGCATGTTCTCATAAGAGAGAGCTAAACACTGAGCGTACATGGACACAAAGAAGGGAACAGACACCAGAGCCTACTTGAGGATGGAGGGCGAGGATTGGAAAAAATACCTGTAAGCCAGGCATGGTGGCTCGCTCCTGTAATCCTAGCACTTTGGGAGGTTGAGGCCAGAGGATTGCTTGAGCCCAGGAGTTTGGGACCAGCCTGAGCAACATAGCAAGACTCCGTGTCTGTAAAAGAAAAGAAAAGGGGAGGGGAAGAAAAGAGAAAAGAAAAGAAAAAAAAGAAAACAGAAAAGCTACCTATTGGCTACTATGCTCATTACCTGGGTGGTAATCTGTACACCAAACCCACACAACATGCAATTTACCCATGTAACAAACGTGCACATGTACCCCGAACCTAAAAAAAAGTTGGAGGGAAAAAAGTTTATGTCTCTTGTACTCAATTGTATTTATTTATTTGAGACAGAGTCTTACTCTACTGCCCAGACTACAGTGCAGTAGCACGATCTCGGCTCCCTGCAACCTCAGCCTCCCAGTTTACGTGATTCTCATGCCTCAGTCTCCCAAGTAGCTGGGATTACAGGCATGTGCTACCATGCCTAATTTTTGTACTTTTAGTAGAGATGGGATTTTGACATGTTGGCCAGACTGGTCTCGAACTCCTGGCCTTGAGTGATCTGCCCACCTCAGCCTCCCAAAGTGCTGGGATTACAGGTGTGAGCCACCTCAACACAAAGTATTTCTCTGCATAATTATTCTCAATATATACTATATACAGTTTTCTGTCTTGGTCTGACCAACCAGATTATAATTCTATCTTGTATTTTTTCTATATAAACTCATGAATAACACATAAACTCTTTGGTTTACAAAAGGGAAATACGTGCTTATTTAACTATAAATTAATCTGATTAAATGTCCCATTCTCTATCACCATTCTCTATCCAGACTAATATCCCAATGTTTTACATGAATTAGGGGTTATTGTGCCCTTCATTCAAATTAGGATTAGCACTTCTAGAAATTGAGAGAGAAGGTACGGCCTATCTAGAGAGTAGGGACTTGGCAGTCAAGCAGGTATCCAGAAAAGGAAAATAATCAGAACCTTTTATCATTATGCATTCCCATTACAAGGCAGCAATTCTTCTTGCTAACGTTCCTCCTTTTGGCCTTTTCCAACAAATATCAATTTGAAACATCTGCTTCACTCCTTATGAGTCAACTGTGCAACTTTCCTGACAGGACTATAGAAAAACAAGGTAAGAACTGACACTACACTTCTAACAGTCTCCTAGGAAGCCTTCACATCTTTTGATGGTTTGATTAAAATCCTAAAGAACAAAATCAAATAAAGCTAAGGGAAAAAAGTGAACTTACCACCAAATAATGGTTCTGGTTCCACCAGTATTTCCTGCTTTTGAGGAATTGGGGCACGAACTTCTTCTCTATTAAAAAAAAAATGGGAAAATAAAAAATGAAAACTGTTTTCTGCTACCTGTTTGCTTTCTGTAATTACTGTGAATATATTCAAATTAACTTAGTGACTTTCAGAAGCACAGTAATAATGATACATTTATTTTGTTGGTTTTTTTTTTTTGGCAGGGGAGACAGTGTCTCACTCTGTCGCCCAGGCTGGAGTGGACTGACACGATCTTGACTCACTGCAACCTCCACCTCCCGAGTTAAAGCAAATCTCGTGCCTCGGCCTCCCTAGTAGCTGGGACTACAGGCATGCACCATCACACCTGGCTAATTTTTTTTCGTATTTTTAGTAATGACAGGGTTGCGCCATGTTGGCCAGGCCGGTCTTGAACTCCTGAGCTCAGGCAGTCCACCCACCTCAGCCTCCCAAAGTGCTAGGATTACAGGCGTGAGCTACTGCATCCAGCTGATAAGTGAGTTTTAGATGGTTTCCACATAAAGCTCAAGTGGAAATGAGTACCTGGAATATATAGCTCAAATGGTTTAGAAATAAAAACAATTTCCCTTTCCCTCTCAAGTTTCCTACCTTAAATTCTGTCAGAAAAAAAGAAAAAAATTTTCCCCAAAATAATCAGGCAGAAATGAATAGAAAAATATAGGCTTAATAGAAGCAATATCACATTACTACTACATCAAAGAATAATTAAATCATAAGGACATATTAAAATAAACTTTAAAAGGCAGTGAATTTCATGCTAATTATGAAAGAGGCTAACAGGTATGATCTTGGATTATTTACTAAAAAGATCCTAATATACAGAACAAAAAAAGTAATTACTCATCTTTTAAAAGCCTATTGTCTTCAAAGTTTACATTCACAGGGTTTACTGATAATCCATCTCTTCCAGTAACAAAAAACTCATTCAGATACACTGTAAAAATGGTGTGTGCCTTTAAAGAACACTTTATTTTAGGTTGGGCACGGTGGCTCATGCCTGTAATCCCAGTGCTTTGGGAGAGGAGGCGGGAGGCTCACTTGAGCCCAGGAGTTCGAGACCAACCTTGGCAACATAGCAAGACTCCATCTCTAAAAAAAAGAAAAAGAAAAAGAAATAGTTTTATAGTTGTAACTCAAGTATTGAACTTTGCTGATTAATGTTCACAGCAAATAGTAACTTCCTAATTTTCATTATCTTCCTGCTTATAATAAGTATTATATAAGCATGTAAATTCCATATAAATTTATGTTAGCCCTAATGGTTTTCATTCAGGTGTTCTGAATAGTAACAACTAAAGACCTTGTTTTTGATATTTAAGCATTGGAACTCCAAAACATCCTTTATGAAATGAAGTAGGAATACTCATTTGTCAACAATAACATCCTGTAATCAAAGAACAACCAGTTAAAGAAATTTCCAATAAACCACGTGACTAAAGGATAATTCAAAATTATGTTAAGTACTCTTTCCTGGTGCTCACACACAAAATGTCAATCATCTGAAGAAACAGACAATACATCTATAAGAGGAAGCTCTGTCAATCCTTTCATCAAAAGGAAATAGGCCGGCCAGCCATGGTGGCTCACACCTGCAATCCTAGCATTTTGAGAGGCCAAGGCAGGTGGATTGCTTGAGCTCAGGAGTTCAAGACCAGCCTGGGCAACAAGGCAAAACCCCATCTTTCAAAAAATACAAAAATCAGCCAAGTGTGGTGGCATGTGCCTATAGTCCCAGTTACTTGAGGAGCTGAGGTTGCTTGAACCCGGGAGGCCGAGGTTGCAGTGAATCGAGAGCAGTGAGCAGAGATCACACCCCTACATTCCAGCCTGAGTGACAGAGGAAGACTGTGTTTTTAAAAAAAGAGCTAATTATCTTAAGAAAATTGGCCATTGGCTGGGCATGGTGGCTCACGCCTGTAATCCCAGCACTTTGGGAGGCCAAGGCCGGTGGATCACAAGGTCAGGAGATCAAGACCATCCTGGCTAACATGCTGAAACCCGGTCTCTACTAAAGAAAAATACAAAAAATTAGCCGGGAGTGGTGGCGGCGCCTGTAGTTCCAGCTACTCTGGAGGCTGAGGCAGGAGAACAGTGTGAACCTGGGAAGCGGAGCTTGCAGTGAGCCGAGATTGCACCACTGCACTCCAGCCTGAAAAAAAAAAAAAAAAAAGAAAACTGGCCGCACACAATGGCTCATGCCTGTAAACCCAGCACCTTGGGAGGCCGAGGTGGGCAGATCACGAGGTCAGGAGATCGGGACCATCCTGGTCAACATGCTGCAACCCCGTCTCCACTAAAAATACAAAAATTAGCCAGGCATGGTGGCGTGTGCCGGTAGTCCCAACTACTTAGGAGGCTGAAGCAGGAAAATCACTGGAACCCAGGAGGTGGAGGTTGCAGTGAGCCGAGATCACCACACTGCACTCCAGCCTAGCGATAGAGACTCTGTCTCAAAAAACAAAAAAACAAGAAAGAAAGAAAACTTCTACCTAAACAAAACCTTCCATTATTGTTATACCTCGCTTTACAGCATATATATATATATACACACACACACAATTGTCTCAATCTCAGACAACTGAATTGTTCTATAAACAAACTTTAATCTGACTAAATGCATCAATTAGAGGGGTGGATTAAACAGTACAGTTGTCCTTACATGAAAAGTCTTGATTACCACATTATCTGAGGGTATCTGTACCAAGACTGTCAGCTACCAAGAATGGAAGGATGCAATAGAAAAAAGTGAATAAAGAAAATCATACTTTAGGAATTAGGAGCCATTATTGAATGTTGATCAACTAGCAATACAAACTATCTAAGCCAAAATATATATAGGGGAATTCATTAGGAAAAGATATTCATTTACCAAAACTATTTTTCAACACAATTGAGAAAACATGTTTTATACAATGAGGATAAATATGCTCTCCCAAATCAACTATGAATATTTGCCATTCAAGTTTCTGTATTAGGTGGTTTTTTGTTTTTAATCTTTTTTTTTTTTTTTTTTTTTTTGAGACAGGGGGTCACTCTGTGTCAACCAGGTTGGAGTGCAGTGGCACAATCATGGCTCATTGCAACCTCAACCTCCCAGGCTCATGTGATCCTCCCATCTCAGCCTCCCAAGTAGCTGGGACTACAGCTGCGCACCACCACACCTGGCTAATTTTTCTATTTTTTTGTAGAGACAGGTTTTTGCTATATTGTCCAAGCTGGTCTCAAACTCTTGGGCTCAAGCCATCCTCCTGCCTTGGCCTCCCAAAGTACTAGAATTACAGGCATGAGCTACCACGCCTGGACTTTTTTTTTAAGTATTAGGTTCTCATACTGATTTCTGTTAAAAGTCTGAACTATATTGGGAGTGAAATACATGGCCAACATTAACAGAAAAAAACTCTACACAAAATTATTTTTATTTATTTATTTATTTATTTATTTATTTATTTATTTATTTATGTATTTATTTAATTTTTGAGACAGAGTCTTGCTCTGTCACCCAGGCTGGAGTGTAGCGGCATGATCTCTGGTCACTGCAACCTCTGCCTCCTGGGCTGAAGCAATTCTTGTGCCTCAGCCTCCCGAGTAGTTGGGATTACAGGCACCCGCCACCACGCCTGGCTAATTTCTGTATCTTTTTAGTAGAGACAGGGTTTCACCATGTTGATCACGCTGGTCTTGAACTCCTGACCTCATGATCAGCCTGCCTCGGCCTCCCAAAGTGCTGGGATTATAGGTGTGAGCCACCATGCCCAGCCTAGTTTCAAACATTTTTCATGGCAACTCAAAACATTTCTGTGAATGTAGAAAAATCTATAATTGGGAAATCTGAGCTTTATTGCGACTTAATGCTGTGTAGTTTGCGGAAATGGCTATGCCTCTGCTTCCTTATTGGTAAAATGTTGATAATGCCATCCAATAAGGTTTCTGTTTATTTGTTGCTGCCGTGAGGCACACAGGCCCTGCTGGCCACGGGCCAATCCCAGCAGAGCAGCACCCACACTCCCACCAACCCCATCTCCCCGACTTCACAGAGCCTACATGGTTCCTTTGAGGATTCAACACGGCAAGACAGTGTCTAAAGAATCGAACGTATGTTACTACAAAATTTCCACTGCATACTTTTTCACAGGCTTTCAGCCTTTCATTTATTTCAAAACCAGAGAATTGACCTAGCTTTGATAAAAATGCAACTACTTAATTTAGGCAATGGATAGCTCCTGACAATACATATTAAATTCGTACTCTGTGTGTGGTCTGACAGTAGAGACACTTGCTGAACTGGTACTGGGCTCTTCAGCGATTCCTCCACCATCCAAAAACATAGTGACTGCCATTTCCAGATTATTGTTGCACGCTTCAAGCATATGTTTTCCTACACTTTCACTTGCACCTGAAACAGTAAAAAGACAGGAAAAACGTTAAAAAAAAAAAAAAAAAAAAAGACAGCCTCTTTTTTCAGCTCGTATTAGAATTCCCAAGTAAATCAATAGTATTTTTCCCTTTTAGAATGAATTTCTTGTGAAATACACCGAGCTAGAAAAAAATGCACACATTCTTGAAGTGAAACACACAGAGCTAGAAAAGAATGTAGAAGCATTAAAGAGTAATCATCCTTCATGATAAAACAAAAACTAAATATTAAAGCATTTTTTGGCCACTTCTGGTTTTTTTTTTTTTTTTTGGCCATTTATTTAAATGGCCAAAGTATATATTTGGGAATAAGCTGAAAAAAGATAAAGAAAAATGAAAGACTACGTTCTAGAAAGTTAGAAATGCTTTGTTAGAAAGAATACATTTCAGTTAGCATTTCTGTTTCTGTTAAAAAGAAAGCATCAGGCTGGGCACAGTGGCTCACATCTATAATCCCAACACCTTGGGAGGCCGAGGCGGCTGGATCACGAGGTCAGGAGTTGGAGACCAGCCCAACTAACATGGTGAAGCCCCGTCTCTACTAAAAACAAAAATGTGCCAAGCATGGTGGCAGGCACCTATAGTCCCAGTTACTCGGGAGGCTGAGGCAGGAGAATCGCTTGAACCCAGGAGGCAGAGCTTGCAGCGAGCCAAGGTCATGCCACTGCACTCCAGCCTGGGCAACAAAGCGAGACTCTGTCTCAAAAAAAAAAAAAAAAAAAAAAAGGCATCTTTAATACCAATGACAAACAAGTGAGAAGGAACATTTTTTTGTCTAAGACATAACTAAGTCAAAATCTGGTAAGAAATGTCAATCTTCATCATTTAAAAATGTCCCTATTACAAACTAACTCATTTGTAAATAAAGTAAAGCTAACGGACTCTGCTAAATGAAATGTAAATTGGTAAGGTCCTTTAAGAAAACAATTTTACAACATGTATTCCAGAAACAAAAATACTCATTCCTTTTTTGACTCAGTAATTTCGGCTTCTAGTCAAAATAAAATAAAATCTACATAAAATACTATATGCACAAACATGTTCATACACATGTCCAGCATAGCTTCAGTTTATATTGAAAAGTTGGAAACAACAAAAATGTCTAATGATAGAATGTAAATTGAACATTTTATGGCCACTAAAAAGCACCTCAAGCTTTCCATTTGGGATGATTTTTCTTCTATCTGAATCATGTCCCTTAGAATCTCCTTCTCTTGATGGTAAATGCTCTTAAGTTTTTGCCTGAAAATGTCTTTATTTCGCTGTCATTCCTGACAGTTTTACTGGGTATTCCATTTCAAAGCTGACAGCTATTTTCTCTCAGAATATTGAAGATAGCATTCCAATGTCCTCTGGCTTCTGTTGTTGCTGCTGGGAAATCAGTTGCCAGACTACAGAAAAATGTTTTTATAGCAATCTGTTGTTTCTAGTTGCTTTTAAGACCTTCCGTCTTTAGCCTTCTGCAATTTCACTCTGATTTGTCAGGGTTGATTTTATTTATCCTCTCTGGGATTCAGTGGACTTTTACCACTTGAAGATTGTCTTTTATCAATTCTGAAAAAGTCGCAGCAATTTCTATTTGATCGCTGCCTCACCCTCCATTCACACTTATCTCCTCTGTAACTCCAATTAGATGTACGTTACAACTCTTCACTCTAACCTTTATGTCTCAACCTTTCTTTCACATGCGTATTGTCTCTTTAGCTCTCTATGTGCATTGTGGCTAATCTCTTCAATGCTATTTCGAGTTCACACATTTTCCCTTTAGCTGTGCCAATCTGTTTCTTCCCTTGCTCACTGAGCTTTTGATTTCAGCTAATTTTTTATAACTGGAAGTTCTGTTTTTGTTTACTTCCTCATCTGCTTGATCATGTTTTGGAGATCCTTAATTCATACTCCTATTTCAATCTTTCATTTCTTCAAGCACATTAACCAAACTTATTGGAATCACTAAGGGAAAATATAAAATTTCTACAGTTTCTATAGGTCACTATCTCATGTTTCTGCTGGATCTTGCTCACTATGCCACAGTTTTTGTCTGATTTGTGTTTTTTTCACTGTGATGTCATGTGCCTTGAAATTTTAATCTGCAGAATTCTGAAGCTTGGGTTGAAGGTACATTTCATCCTAAGAGGATATGATTTGACAGACTTTTCAAGGCACCCACGGGCACTAGCAGAGATCACTTTAAACGCATTTCTGACTTGGAAGTGTTTCAAGACCACATGGGAAATGTGACTGTAACAATCCTGTCTCAGCCTCCCAAGTGGCTGAGATTACAGGTGCCTGCCACCACGCCGGGCTAATTTTTGTATTTTTAGTAGAGACAAGGTTTCACCATGTTGGCCAGGCTGGTCTTGACCTCCTGACCTCAGGTGATCCGCCCATCAGGTGATCCGCCCGCCTCAGCCTCCCAAAGTGCAGGGATTACAGGAGTGAATCACCACACTAGGCCTTAAAAATTTTTTTGAATACATACATTCTTCAGCACTGTTTTTCTCAGCAGCAGGGTTATTCATGTTATCACTCTACATTATCCTTACTGCAAGAAATGGAAGTGCTAACTCTACTCTTACTGTCTCTCATTTGTTTTCTCTTCTGTACTACTACTGTCTCTAAGGCAAATCCTTAATACTTACCTCAATTACTTCAACAGGCTCCTAACTGATCATTATTCCATCTTCCACCTTGCTGCAGAGGGTATGTTCCAAAATATAAGTCTCATTGTATCATCCTCCTGTTTAAAATCCCTTAATGGCGACCAGGCATGGTGGCTCACACCTGTAATCCCAGCACTTTTGGAGGCCAAAGTAGGCGGTTAGGAGGTTAGGAGTTCGAGACCAGCCTGACCAACATGGTGAAACCCCGTCTCTACTAAAAATACAAAAATTAGCCAGGTGTGTTGGCACACACCTGCAATCCCAGCTACTCAGGAGGCTGAGGCAGGAGAATCACTTGAACCTGGGAGGCGGAGGTTGCAGTGAGCTGAGATTGTGCCACTTCACTCCAGCTTGGTCAACAGAGCAAGACCCCGTTTCAAAAAAACAAAAACAAAAACAAAAAAAATCCCTTAACGGCTTTCTTCTGATGCCTGCAGTATAAATTCAAGTCTTTATGATCTGGAAAGCCCTTTGTGATCAGGCCTCAGCTTATTTCTCTGGCTTTGCCTTTCTTCTTCCTCATCCTACATAGTTTACTATAGTCAAATTCATTACCTGCTTGGAATGCTTATCCTCCCCATCATCCCCTCATCTAGTTCATGCATGCTGAAATCAACAGAAATGTTACTTTGTTGATTTGTATACTAGCCTACCTGCCCATTCCCATCCCTGAGATAACGTTCTATTATATCCATGGATATACTACTAATAAATGCTGGTTTATTTTCTGGCTCCCCTAAAAGAATAGACGGTTCTTGAGCAGAGGAACTGGTTTTCTTGCCTCGGTATCTCCCAGCACCTGGCATCAGGCTTGCTTGCATGTGATCAATGTCTGATAAACTTAGTGATATCTCATAGTACTTTAACTCATTAGCTATACACTAGAGAGAGAGGGAGCAGGCCTTAGTCAAAACCTCTGGCAACCCTTTTATAACAATTTAATTTTGTACTTCGTGCATATACTTATGTTTTAAAATTAATTTATAAAGCAGTATGGTTACACTGTGGAAATAAATGGCAAATGGATACGCTGGATTAATGGATTTAAGATACATTTAAAAAGAAGTGAAAATAACATGCTTCAAAAAACTAGCGGATGGCCGAGCACAGTGGCTCACACCTGTAATCCCAGCACTTTGGGAGGCCGAGGCAGGCAGATCAGCTGAGGTCAGGAGTTCAAGACCAGCCTGACCAACATGGTGAAACCCCTTCTCTACTAAAAATGCAAAAATTAGCCAGACGTGGTGGCAGGCGCTTGTAATTCCAGCTACTCAGGAGGCTGAGGCAGGAGAATCACTTAGCCTGGGAGCAGAGGTTGCAGTGAGCCGTTGCACTCCAGCCTGGGGCACAAGAGTAAGATTTCATCTCAAAAACAAACAAACTAGCAGATGACATGGAGTAGCTATAGCCTTTTCTGAAAACTGGTAAAGATATATATTTAAGGTGCAAATGAAAACAACTGAATAAACTCATTTCATAAAATATGACTGAAAAAAGGCAGCCAGGTGCGGTGGCTCGTGCCTGTAAACCTGGCACTTTGGGAGGTTGAGGCAGGGGCATCATTTGAGCTCAGGAGTTCCAGACTGCCTGGCCAACAGGGTGAAACCCCGTCTTCTACTAGAAATACAAAAATCAGCCAGGCATGGTGGCAGGCATCTGAAATCTCAGCTATTAGGGAGGCTGAGGCAGGAAATTCTCTTGAATCCAACAGGCGGAGGTTACAGCAAGCTGAGATCACACCACTGCACTTCAGTTTGGGTGACAGAACGAGACTTCATCTCAAAAAAAAAAAAAAAAAAAGGCATGAATATACAATGTGTGTAATAATGTTAAATCAATAAAAATTACCCAAGAAAGCACCTGATCATTTCACTTAAATCTCTAGAAACGCACATAGTTGACAGTCAACTGTTTTTTTAGTACCAGGTTATACCCATTAAAAAGGCTACTAGTAAAAAACAAAAAATAACAAGTGTGGGTGAGGATGTGGAGAAACTGGAACCACCATGCACTCTTGATGGGAATATAAAATGGTACAACTAGGGTGGAAAACTATGGTGATTCCTCAAAAAACTAACAACAGAATTACCATATGATCCAGTAATTTCACTTCTGGAGATATACCCAGAGAACTGAAAGCAGGGTCTCAAAAAGATATTTACATGCCCATTTTCATAACAGCATTATTCACAGTAGGTAAAACATGGAAGTCACTCAAGTACCCACCAACACATGAATGGATAAACTAAAGTAGTATATTCATACAATGGAATATCATAGAGCCTTAAAAAGGAAAGAAATTCTGACATGAATGAACCTT